GAAAATTATCAATAGCTTGTAAAGCACTCCTTGAATCAGAAAATATTATTGATTTATTTAGTTTCATGAGAACGACATACTCGACAGCTTTTAGTAAGCCAAGGCATTCCCCCGTAAATACAGATGTCTCCGGAGGAAGTTTACTTTTCTGCACAATGGAAAACTGAGAGTGGTAGACTCCTATGCCCGTACATTCAGAAGAGGAAGACTTAGAAGCATCACTGTATATATGATGGTAATTTTCGTATTCGGAATCTATAATTGATTTAAAGGTTTTAGCGTTATGTTTATCTATCAGATCGTACCTTACAGATGGTGAAATTAGCAAGGCGTCATAATCTATATTAAACACTGGAAGACGGTTTGACCGATGTATAGGTGAATGGAGGCTCAAGTATTTTTGATAGCTTACTATTAAACAAGGCAGTTGTTTATGAGACCAATAGCTAGCTGTAGTTATTTCATTGTTCAGAGAGTTAAGTAGGTGGAAAAGAGGATGGTCGGAGAATTGAAGAGATCGGAACAAAAATCGATCTGCAAGAAATTGTCGTCTAATACTGAGTGGGGGTTCACAAGTTTCGATTTGTAAAGCATTGATTGGGCTTGAGCTCATAGCACCAGTTATAATTCTAAGTGCTTTTGATTGAATACCGTCTAATTTTTTTAACGAAATTAAGCTGGCAGGTTCTAAAAGGAAAGTACCATAATCCAATACACTTCGAATTAGCGCGTTATAAACCAACTTGAGCGATTGAGGGTGAGCCCCCCACCAGACACCGGAGAGACATCGAAGAAGATTCAATAGTCGTTCAGTTTTCTTGATAATGTAATCTATATGGGAGCGACCGGAGAGCTTGGAATCTAATATCACACCTAAAAACTTAGCTTGTGATTCAACTGGTATAGGCAAGTTATTATAATGAACTCTAATTAAAGGGGGATTCCTCATTCTTGAAAAAACTACGATTGTACTTTTGGATGCAGATAAATCTAAGCCATTGGTAAGCATCCAGGAGTGTAATGAAATCAAGGCCAACTCAATATGTGACGCAGCTATCTCAACTGATCGGTTTGTTGAATATAATAACAAATCATCCGCATATTGTAAAAGCTTTATATGATTATCGAAGCAAGAATCCAAATCATGTGTATAGATATTGTATAGCAAAGGGCTAAGGACTGACCCTTGGGGTAACCCTTTCCATACAGTCCTTTTTATTTCTGAATAACTAGATAAACTAACAATCAAATTACGTTCTTCTAATATGTTCATAATAAAATTAGTTAACATTGACGGGATGTTTAGCGATTCTAATTTATTTTTTAATACTGACACTAACACATTATCATAAGCAGAATTGATGTCCAAAAAAGCAGCCACTATAGATTCGTTGTTTGTAAAACCTATACGTATGTCAGTTGTGAAAATACTTATATTATCCATTGTACTTTTCCCTTTTCTAAATCCATATTGCGTTCTCGATAGTATACCTTGACTTTCTACAAACCATTCCAAACGGTTTTTAATTAAAATTTCAGCTAATTTTATTAGCACAGAAGATAAAACTATCGGTCGATATGAGCTGGCCTCAGATGGTGGTTTATTTGGTTTGAGGATGGGCAACACTACTTGTGACTTCCATGACAGAGGTATGTTTCCTGTTAACATGATAGTGTTGATAAGTTGTAGATAATAAAAGAGGATATTGTCACTTACATTAGCAAAGAATGAATATGGGATTCCATCTTCCCCCGGAGCAGAATCTTTAACATGATATATTGCACTTTTCAGTTCACGAAGAGAAAAGAGGCTATTTAAACCAGATTGATTATAAGACGACTGCGAAGGTTGTGCAGTGTTGAGTATGGGAACCCATGAAGGGGCCAATTTGTCCATGAAATCAATAGTTATTTCGGTGGGAATAGTAATTCCAGAAGATATATTATATGAAGATTTAAATCTTTTTATGTTTTGCCAAACAAGAGTAGGATGTGTGTTAGGAGAAATAGAACTACAGAAACTTTTCCAACTGTCAAATTTTTTCTTTTTAAATAATCTTTTTGTTTCAGCAATCGTTTTAGACAAGTATTCATAGTTAGCTTCAGACATATTATTATTGTAAATTCTTTCAGCCTCTTTTCTCTTCTTAACCGCTTCAGTGCAATCTTTATCCCACCAAGGAGGGGATGGTATTTTTGTGCAATTATTTTCTTTGACAGGAAACACCTCTCTGGCAGCTTCATTTAAAATATTTGATAATGCTTCAGCGCAAATGTTTTCATTTCCATGTATTATAACAGGGAGGTGCTTAAGCTTGCATTCTACATTAGATTTATAAGTAATCCAATCTTTAGAACTTTTATCAGGTAATTTATATCTTCTAGTAGACTTTTTCTGGGAAATGCTAGGTTTATTAAACGGAAATGTAATAATAATAGGGAAATGATCACTTCCTAATGTAGAAGATAAAGTATGCCAAGATAAAGAAGAAGCCAAATTTGGTGTGCATATTGATAAATCTACTGCACTCTTATTAAGTCTAGGATCAGTGAGTCTTGTAGGTGATCCTGTGTTCAAGTAACATAAATTATGTGACTCAATAATATCTAATAAATTTACTCCATAACTATTAATAATAGAACTTCCCCATGCTCTATGGTGACAATTAAAATCTCCTAAAACTAAGAAGGGTCTAGGAAGGGTAGAGAATAAATTATTTATTTCACCAAAAATTGGTGCAGATGGATGACTGATATAAATTGATACTATGTTAATATTATATACTTTCACTGCTACAATTGAAATATCTTTATGATTTATAGATATGCTAATGGGATCATAATTAACACCATTTTTTATGAGAATGGCTACACCACCAAACCCATCACTTCTATCGTCTCTTAAAGAAGTATAACCCTTAATTTGAAAGTGTTTTTGTGATGTTAACCATGTTTCTGATAAAACTAAAATAGATGGTTCATATTTATTTAGTAAATAAATTATTTCACTTTTTTTACTAATAGCACTACAGCAATTCCACTGAATTATTTTGTCTGTCTGTCTGTCCATTTAAAGTTGGTTTCATATTATTATCAATATTCTGTGCAGCGTTGGACGGTGGGAAGAGATTAAACTGGGAAAAAAGATTGAAAAGAGCAGTAACAAAATCTGTAGGAAGTTGTGTACCTGATGCAGAATTAGTATCATTATTAAAACCACATCCATTATTAGGTGAAGGAATCATAAATTCCTTTAATAAGGCTTTATGAGCAACTGTGTCATACCCCTTTGTAGGCATAGGAGAAGAGCGAGGTTTCAAAAATGTAGTTTTCTTGTAAGATGTCCTAGGGCTTACATTGGGAACAGCTCTACTATTTTCCATCTCATTCATGGACAATTTTGCAGGTGGGGCAGCTACAGTTTCAGCGTAAGACTTAGAAATAGATGGTATCAATTTAGAAGCTTCAGCATAAGATACACAATTTTGTGCCATGTAAAGTTTGATTTGTGACTGCCTTACAAATTCTGGACATAACTTATTATTAGCAAAATGATATCCATCACATAAGCAGCAGGATGCATCTTCTTCCAAAGTATTACAAGACTCACCTGTATGATTTTGACCGCACTTGAAACATCGAGGTTTAGATCTACATTGAGACTTTGTATGCCCGAAGCGACAGCATTGGTAGCATTGTATCGTAGGATATATGTATAAATCTACATTAAGAGCATTATAACACATAAATATGCGTTTTGGTAAGATTTGACCATCAAAGGTTAAAACAATAGTTTGAGATGGCTTCCAAGTAGGGGTATCATTTACAAAGGTTTTATAATTTAGCCGTCTCACTTTCAAGATTTCACCACAACCTATAGGTACAGATATATTACTTTTAACCTCCTCGGGAGACCAGTCTGAAGGAACGCCTCTAACTAAACCCATTCTTGTGATGTTGAATGAAGGAATAAATGCTTTTAAATTGTTTGTAACAAGACTGTTGTGGATAATAAAATCGTTTGCATCATAGTGTGTTGAAAAAGAGACAGACATTTTATTGCGGCCAATCTTTTTTACGCTACCATTAATAATGTTCTTGAAGCAGTTCTTTTTTAAGAATTTACCAAAAGCCATTGGATGCAATGAGGTTCCATCGTTAGGTGTCGCTTGTTGTTTTTGAACATGTACCACGTAAGGAGCAGCATCTGTTTTATCATATGATGTTCTACTAATGGATACAGGGGCAAAAGTAGGAGTAGGTGTGGGATTAGACACAGGTGGGTCTTTCGTAGATGAGTCAGTTTTATTATTCAGCTCAGACTGAACTGGAGTCGATTCATAGCAACTACAATCGGTAGGTTTTGGTTCTGATTTATTATGTTTGCGTCTTTTTTTATTGCAATGTTTGCATACATGAAGTCGACTCCTTTTCAGAGAGCGACTAGCTACTGATCCATCCGTATCCATACCAGATTCATTATTTGATCCTATCGTAACAAAATTACTAGCCGGGGGGACAAAACCCCCCGGCTCCGGTAGCTCGTTCATACACCTAATAAATATCAATTAAATTTTGACTCACCAGAAAGTAGATAATAAACAATACTTATATACACTATAAATACGTAAGTACAAACCAATTAACTGATCACTATTTTATGCAAGAGGTATTAGTTAAAAATATTAAAATCAAAAAACGCGCCCGCTAAAGTTAAACATTATATAGTCAATAATATAGTCAGTAAGGTTGTCACGGAGAAATCAAGAAGTGTACCGTAGCAACATCCAGTTTGATTTCGGGAACTAATCTTTTGATGTCAATTGATTTAATGTTTCGATATGATTGTATTTTCGATTATTATAGTATTAATTAAAGTTATTTAATTATTTGTTACCGATATATACCGGTGTTTCGATATATCGTTGCATCCCTAGGTCCACATCTATTATAGTTTACTCCAAAGAGAAAAATAATATAACGGGTTTACTCTTTGCATCAATCGAAAAATTGAAAATGGCTGCTGTGTTATAGGCACGCGTTGTTCAATGAAGATTTTTATTTGGAGTGGTTTAGCATTTATTTCTTCTTCACTGTCTTTAGCTTAGTGTTTAGGACGATACACTTGTTTTTTTTAACGTATAAAAGTGTAAAAGTAAAAGTGTGTAGTGGTGTTGCGGTTTTATTTGCGAAAAATTTGTTAATACTTGTGGCTTATCTATGCGAACATTTGTGTGGCCTTTTCCTATAATATAATGTATATGTAATGAAAAAAATGTAAGAGTGTGATTGATTTTGTATTGAAATGTCCGTTCACTACAAATTCAAAAGTGCGTTAGATTATGACACAGTCACTTTTGATGGACTGCATATATCTGTAGGTGATCTGAAATCTGCGATATCACAACAAAAACGTATAGGGAAGACATCAGATTTTGATCTACAAATCACGAATGCTCAAACAAAAGAAGGTAATATATGTATCTCTGTTAAAACTTTAAAAATAATGGTTCTCCATGATCTAATTAAGTAACCAGGGACCAAGTGGTATTTTTTAAGCATTTATCATCAAGAATATTTTTCTGTATAGCATTGTGAATGCGAAATTGAATAATGCAAAACTTGTTTTTAAATTCAGTACATTCAATAGTACATACAATATTTGTTATCATAGGATGGATATAGATAATACTACAACTTCTTCTAAATATCTGCTGTTGTTAGGCTACTTGAATCAACAAATTTTTCTGCTTCCAATTATGTATGTTATCTCATTGAGATGTCACTGGGATGTAGTAGTTGATTGGTTGGTGACCCAAAAAATAAATATATTTGAAGTACATAACCCTGACATTTTATTTATTTATTTGTTATACTAATAAAATTATAGGATTATCTGTAGTAGTTTGTGGTTTACTTGAATTTATGTCATTCATGTTGCATGCTTCAAACCACAGGCAAGTATACTCAAAAATTAGTTATACTTTTTATAATGCTAATCATATCTAAATTTATCAATTAACAAAGCCTTTTGTTTAATTATATATTGGCATTAATTTAAAAAGATATAAGTAAAACATTCATGTTTATTTTCATGTCTCCTAAAAAGTAAGGGTATTGCTTATATGCCCCTATGGCTTGAAGCCAATATGAAAAAGACTATGATGCTCATATTGTCTTTTAAGATGACAGCGATTACAGAGCTCACATTGTCTTTTAAATATTCTCTCTATAGCATGGTTGCCAAATAAGAGAGAATTTCGTACAATGCGCACATTAGATATCTCCTTCGCTCGTGTTTTAACAGTTGCTCACACAGATGCATTAAGCAAACTGTGTCATAGTAAAGTGAACCTAAAATGTTAATGATATCTATCAATAAGCACAAAGGTCAACATATTTTTTTTTCTGTTTGGTGACAGTGCTATACTATATATATTAATTTTTAAATTTTTACCTATCATCCTTAGGTTAAGAATTGCTGAATTAGCCTTTAAACTATTTGTAGTATTAGTATACTGAGATGTAACCTGAAAGTGGAAGTAGGGTGGGTGTACCAGTAACAAACCAATTAAGCAAAATTTTAAAATAAATTGTAACATACAAAAAAAGTGTAGCATACTCCTTGTCTACTATAAAATCATGTAATTTATTCTAATTTTCTTAAAAGCTGTTAGGACTGTGGATAGTTGCAATGTTGATAAGGTTGACCAGATTGTACCAGCAATACACCAGATATGTGCCAATAATAAACCAGTAAATAAAACAATTGCTTTTAATTAGGGAATATATATTATAATTACATATCAATCAACACAACATTTTACCAGTCTACAAATTTCAAGTAATACTTTAATGCTAATAATAATAATGATATTCTTTTAAATTTGCACTTTCTCAAAGCAGTTTCTGTTACAAAACTTATAGAAATGTTTGTAGATTCTGAATGTCATGCTATATCTGGATGTCACTTTAAGAAACTGAAGAACCATTTTCTGCCTGGTATATTATCTGGAAAGGTTCATTCTCTTCAGTGATAATTTTCTTAATAGTGTCAACTACCAATTTTTTATTGACTGAAAATCCTTTTTTGCCACAGCTATTATCCAAGTTTTTAACAAGGATTCTCCTTGCTGGGACAATATAGTGAAGGGTCCCATTTTTCGTTAAACAAGATACTTCTGTTTCATTTTATATACAACAGTAGTGTGGTAAATGTTATATTTTCGGTAAGTTGCACTAACTTTTGCGCCTTTGCTTATCTCGTCTATCGCTTTTATGACATATTCCTCCTTATAAATGAAAAACTTTCGTTTTGGTGGCATTGTCTGTAAAAATGTAGTTGGTCAATTACTGGAACATATTCGTAGTATAGATATGACCAGTAATAAACTACCGGTCTATAACAGGAACAGTGTTGATATTTTATGCGATTTTTATAATAATTGATTACACTGTACTAAGTAAATATAGAAGAAAAAATAAATTGTCAAAAAGATAAGTCACCAGTTGTAGACCAAATAGTGTATTACTGGAAAATCATTGAATTCATGTTCCATTACATTGGTAAACAATGATGATTATCGACTTACATTGCCATTTTCAGATGAAATAAGATGTAAAATCATTGCTTTACACATTATGTTACTCAGTTAATTAGAAAATAATTTACAATGATTTATATAAACAAAGATTTTAGAAACTTACCGTGGGTGTGTCGCTTATTTATATGGCCGCCTGAATGAAAGTGAATGATTGTCATTACGAAACATGTATTTTACTGGCATAGAAGGCCTGCACATCGCTTTTATTTATGAATAAATTACTGATAGAAGTACGGCAGTGCTACTAAACGAAAACAAGTGGCGGGAAATTTGGCAACAGGGTAATATTTTAATAAGAAATTAGGAATGTTGTAATACTGGTTCCTGGTGTTGCACTGGTGCACCCACCCTATATGGGGGCTAGTGAAAACCAAGTCAAATCTTCCACAATTAAATTGATTGCATATAAAGTGAAGGTAAAGGTGATAATCAGTAGACATAACATTTATTGAGTGATGTATGAAAAGAAAATTATGCTTAAGGACAGTGCTTTATGGTGCTCAATTCTTTTGGCTTCCTCATAAGGGAGCAGGTTTAGAAAATATAGTTAATGTTTGGCTTTTCTAATACAGCACAATACAGTTAAATTTTCTTATCATAAAACGACATGGTTTTAAAAGTGATGAATATAAATTGATTTAGTGTAATAGTTGCATTGTGGTAGCTCAGTAGCATAGTGTATAAGTGCCGTGGTTAAGTTATTGGTCCTGGCTGCATTTGCAGTCATTAATACCTTCCAACCCACATAAGCCAGCATGGCCTGAACCCTGCCTTGGGGACACAAAGGGCTGATGATGATAATGATGAATAGATGCAAATTTGTTTAAAACATAAAAGATTAAAATTGTGAAAATTGAAATTGCATATTAAAACTTTAAAAATAAAGTGATTTGATTTGCTTATATAGATTATTTTACTTGCAGTGTATGTGGATGACAACACTTTAATTCCCAAAAATACATCTTTGCTTGTTGCTAGAGTCCCCCTCTCTCAGCAACCAAAAAAGCAGTGGGAAGGTTCAAATAGTGCAACTGTACAACATAAAGATGCAGTTGTTAACAAGGGTTTGGCTGATCTGTCTCGCATGGAAGGTAGCGAACAGGATAAAATAAATGCTATGATATCACAATCCACTTTTGACTATGACCCTAGCAAGTAAGATTAAACTTATTTTTGATAGAATATATGACGTTTCCAATAAATTTTATTAACATGTGAAAGCTTGATTCTCATCATTTATTTGAAGGGACAAAATAGTAAAAGGTGCAAGATATTATAGCTTGGTGATTAATGTGTGATTTCTTTTAGCTTATGCTTGAAAAATGGTTGCTTGGTTTATAAAATTGATGAATGATTTTATTAATTTATTATTTATAAACTTCATTACAGCTACCAAAAAATTAGAGGTCAGAATCAAAGAGGAGTAGTACCGTCCAATTACGTCTGCTACAAGTGTCAGAAACGTGGTCATTGGATCAAAGACTGCCCTTTAGCAAATTCTGTAAGTTTTATTATTATATCACTACATACTAGTAATAAATATAACGATTACTATACTTATTTCATATAAAGAATATTTTATTTCCAAAAGACTAAAGCAGATGTTTTAGTCTAGATTGTATGTTTTTAGTTTAGATTGTAAGTTTTGGAACTTACAATTTAATCTGAAATTTTGGAAAAATTGCTATCACTTCTAAACTGTTCCATACTAGTCATCCTAGATGACCGTTAGTGTTATGTTGAGACATACAAGTTTGATATCAATTTTCCTCCTTTACTGCATTGGAAATAGAAGTGATTTGTATGTGTTTATGTTTAGTTTTAAGAAGCTGTACTCTCCTGCACAGTGTTTTATAAACCCTTTATTTGAATGTCTGTTGTTTAGTACACAATCTACAAGATTTTTATTACAAGATCTTAAAAAATATTATTCCAGCTAGTATATTATCAGTTTTTATATCTGATAGAAAAAAAGATCAGTGATTATGGAAATAAACTTATTTCATTCTATAGTTATTTAAAAATTTTATATGATTCAAAAGCATTAACTTTGAGAACTATCAGGAACACAGCTCATAATTATCAAGAGAATTATTTTTGGGATAATTATCATGATAATTATAGGGTAATTATCTGATAATTATAGGGTAATTATCTGATAATTATAGGGTAATTATCTGATAAATATCTGATAATTATCCATAGTTACTGGCAACATTATTTTAAATATAGAAAGGCATTAATTATTGAATGAACTTTTATTTTTATCATTTTAATTTATAAAAAATATACACTTAAAATTAACTCTCAAATCCCTTTGAACAAAAAGTGAAATGAAAATAATATCAATACATTATTTTAATAAAAAGCGATCTTTTAATATTTTTGTTCTTTTTGTAGGTCTATTCTAGACAATTTTCTCTATCCCTACCATATTTGACAGTTATTTAAAGATGATTTCCCTTTAATTACAAATCCTAAAGTACAAAAAGAGTTTGTGTAGTGTATTTTAATTATCAAGGTATATTTATCAAGATTATAATCACTCCAAATCCTGATCACAAACCTTTGAAATGCCTTAGAACAAGAATCAATTAGTTTCATTAAATTTCAAAAATGGATTCTCAATAAATACAAAATAATTTTTCTACATTTGTTTATAAAATAGTGCTATGAGTGAACATTCTGAATTTAATAAACATTTCTGATTATTGAAAGGTAACATTTTTTTCTTTCAAACATAAATTATGTGTTATAGGGAGAACCAGTAGAAATAAGAAGGAGTACAGGAATACCCCGAAGTTTTATGGTACCAGTAGAAGGTCCAAAAGCACCAGGTGCAATGATGACCCCAAGTGGCACTTTTGCAGTGCCTGTTGTTGACCAGTATGTATTTGTAGCAAACAGTTATTCCATTTACCATACCCTATTGATAAATTGGAATAATCTTTTACTTGTCATTTGTTTCAGTGAGGCCTACTTGGCATCGGAGAATGCGGGGGGTGCAGACACACCCACAAATGCCCCAGCTGCTCCAGAACCTAACATACCTGATGAATTAATCTGCAGTTTATGCAGAGACTTACTCACTGATGCTGTAATGATTCCATGTTGTGGGAATTCATTTTGTGATGAATGTAAATATTATAATCTACCATATTTCAATAGTCAAAAGCTTTTAAAAATTAATTTTATTTGTGAAATGCAACCTTTTGTCAGTTTTCCTCATACCTATACTTTCTTTTAGGTATAAGGGGTGCTTTACTTGAATCTGAAGATCACGAATGTCCTGACTGTCGTGAAAAAGAGATAGCCCCTACTACATTAATCCCTAACAGGTATAATTTTATAATGAGTTATATAGAATGTTTGTTGTTGTAGTTATTAAATTGTAATTATTAGAATTTTAGTTTAAAACAAAATATGTGATCTATGATGACTATTTCAGGTTTTTAAGAAATTCCGTATCATCATTTCGTAATCAAACTGGGTATAGTAGAAGGGTTCCTCATCGTCCTGTTGTGCCACCAATGCAGCCACATCCAGTTATTGGTAAGTATTTTTACCATACTAATACTATTGTTGGTACAGTTTCTTTCACCAATAACCACACTCATACAAGGTAATAAACTCTTTTTTTTTAATATGCCTCTGAACATTGTAATCTTTTTATATAATGTCTTTTTGTAGAGCCACCGATTATGCCAGGTCATCCACCTGCTAATGCTGCGGGTCAGCAGGGATTGCCGATGGCTGGTAAATATGATTTACAAAGTATCCGATATGACGTTCATATTTCACACAAGAGGTCGAAAGTCGATACATTCATCTCCGCAATGATAAAAAGTGGGGCTTTCGGTGCATGTCAAATCTAAACATTAAAGTAGCTCCTATAACAGAATCGTATTAAGCGTCGTTGACGGGTGTGTGTTAGATTCGGCCACCGTAGCGGAGGAGTCGGACGGATCGGATGACAACATAACGGTGACAGTGCCACCCGCGCATGCGCACCGCCCCGTCGGCCCCAGTGGGCCAGGCGGGCCAGTCGGTCCCGGTGGCCCCGGTGGCCCCGCCGGTCCCGTTGACCCCGCGGGCCCGGCTGGTCCGCACGGCCACTCTCGCCGACCCCCAGGGTCACACACGCGCCACGCCGCGGACATGCACCGAGCGCCGCGCTACGGTACTAATAGAGACTATGCCGCATGATGTCACGCTCTCTTATTATTTATGAAGCTTAAATGAGCTCGCAGTTTCAACACTATATTCACGTATATAATTAAACAGCTTGAATTATTCCGTCGCCAATACTACGGTCGCCGAGATAATGTGTTTTTTACTTCTGTCAGAACGTCATGACTAGTAATGGGCAAAATTTAACCGACCCTATACAAGGCAGTCATTATTGGTATCCAACAAGAACCATAGCCAATATTTGTTTCATTTAAAAAATTGGGTTTTGAAGTATATCTATAAAATATGAATTTGGTGATAAATTATTAAGTTATTCTCTTTTTATTTGCGAATGCGCTGGTTATTCTTAGTTGTTTATAATATTATTTTATATGCATATTACGATACTACGAAATATCTAGTTACAATAGGGATGACTACTAATTTTTGTTTGTTTGTCCGTCAGGTAGAGAGTTAAAAAATAATAAACACGGTTTTTTTTTTCGTCATCATAAAATAACTGCGTTACATGGAGTTGAAATTTCGCATGACGTCACGTTATGGTACGTTTTCTACTAAACTGTGACGTAGCGAGCCCCCCACTCCTCAACTTTAATGCCTGTTGTCTATGCTATTTCTTGTTAAATTGAAGTAAAAAAAGAAAAAATACGTACCTAATATTTTTCTATTATCTGACTGACGGACTAAATAGAATTGCATTTTTTTTACCCAGGCGTCATCCCTATTCTGTTACTTTTAGTGCACCGCTCCAAAAGTAAATACTTGACATTATTAGATTAATAGCGTATTATATTTTTTTTTAAATATTGTTTCTCAGTTTTTAACACAAAATTTAGAATTAAATTATCAGGTATAAATTCAGTTAATATAATAATGTCGTTTTTAATGCTTGTTATTTATTGGGTAAGGCAAAAATATTTTTATCATAAAATTAAACACATTTTTAAAGTAAGGTCGGCAATTTCAGGTCCACCATTCAGAAACTCATTTTCTCGATGGCCGCGTAGTAGAGATATATATATATGTATACCTATATAAAGTAGCTGGTTTTGTTTATGTTCAGTATATGTAAACATTTGAAGTTGCAGGTAATAAGGTGGTGGTGAATTCGTTTCGTATATAGTCTTATTTAATTATATGAAATATTGACAATTGTATGCTAAAATTAAGTATTTTATTTAGTAGTAAAAATGGTCCCGTGTTTGTCTCATAAATGTTGTACAGTAATACAATGATTCCTTAATTTGATGTGAATCTCAATTCTGCTAATTTAACATTATAATCGCGTCTCAATGGCATCTCAATGAATTCCATTTTGCCATTATATTATATACCTGAGGTCTAATATTATTAATGCAATGTCTTTGCAAAACATTTTTGACACATGTGTTTGTTATATTGTGTTCTAGTTACAAGAACTGTGTGAAAAAGTCTAGTTATTTAAGCGCCATGAAGTCTAATTTTTGACATAAGAGGGATGCTGACTAATTTTATGAATTATGAAGAATATTAAACACGCATTTTTTTTGTGTAAGCAAATACGGCGATTGAGTTGAAGTGACGCGTGACGTCACACCTTACTACGTTTTCTCTACATAGTTGTAATGTAGCGAGCCCCCACTCTTCAACTTTAATGCCTATTATCTAAGCTATTTCTTGTAAAATTAAAACAAAAAACTACGTGTCTAATATTTTTCTATTATCTACATAACTGTCGGATTAAATAGAATTTATTTTTATTTTACGCAACCAACATCCCTGTTATGCTAACGTAAGCAGAGTTAGAATAATGTTGTTTATATAATTATAAAAAAACTGTGGACTATAAACTAGTTATTTAAACATCTTAGTTTGGCTACAACCACACATACAATCTTATTTGGCCCGAAAGTTATAGACCTTGTGAGACATAATGAGTTAGATTTTTTTTACAGAATTATCAATAATTTGATAAGATTTAATTTTTGTCATAAGTGATAATATTTTAAAATGATCGCGATAATATAAATGTTTGGAGTCTTATTCAATGGAAAAATTACCACAAAAAAACACAAACTAAAATTAGAAATATTCGATTATATGACTACTGTATATTAACAGCTTTATATTACGATTGTCTTAGTTTTTTTACATTTTGTTCTAGGACCACCGCCTGCGAATTTAAAACCACCAGGTTTGGACACTCCACCAAATCTACACAATGTAAGTGTTTCTTTTTCGATTTTTTACGTTACAATCCTATATGTATATAAATAATTTAGGATTAACGTTTTTGTTTTTCATTTAAGCCACCAATGCAAAGAATAGATGAGCAAAGAGCAAGTACGCCGACCATAGATGAAAGAAGAGATCCATTATCTTCACAGGTAAGTTCGACTTTTTATCACTTATAGCTCACTAATAGTCCTTTTTTCTTACTTGTTGTAAGTAAGTAATGTCCAGCGGTCCTGGGATCATGCTCTATAATGTAGGGAAGTTTTTAACGGTTTTCAAATTTTTTTTTAATAATAATAATAATATTTTAATCTCTATATTTATATATAAAAGAAAGTCCTTTTAAATCATTCACAAGACTACAACGCTGTTTTGATTCGTCTTCGTTGAGAAGAAGGTAGCAAGAATAAGTATTAAACTATGATATTTCATAAAAAAAACTCAACAGACAGCTCACGTTTATCGTTCATTCGTTATAATAAAACGTAACTGACAGATCGCGTAATTTTGTCTATGTCAATGGATAGTTTTAAATTAAAGCGGAACAAAGTTTTTCGGTTCCGCTAGTAAACAGTATAAAACTGATATATTGTTCATATCTAATACATCTAATACAGAACACTCACATTGTACCTAAAATTTCTTGCTTTTAAAACTAAGCCATTTAAGGAATAAATATATCACTATCAAATTTGTAGCCAATCATTCATTAAATTTTTTGGGTTAAATAGGGTTGGGTTCCCAACCCTATCAGACGTTAAATTTTAAAAAGTGTCGTGTCTGTTTACAACTTTAAATTAAGCAGTAAAAACGGACTATATGTAAAAATAAAATAATGTAATTTAAAGGTAATTTTATATAATATAGGCGTATTACTTAATAATCTGACTCTGTGCTTTTTCTACAGGTTGTCTACAATCGTGGACCTCCACCACCTTATATGGCAGGTGTGCCACCTCCATCACGGCGTTATAACAAGTAATTCTTTTTATTTTTGTACAAGTAAAGCGTCACTTTCGTTACAATTGATCAGTTCATGTTTGCGATCAGCCTCTCGTGTATAATCAGATTTATTTTCCGTGTACTTTGAGCATACCGACTTTTAATGAAATAGTTGTTATAATAATTAAGCAAATTTATGACCAACTGTTCTTTCTTAGTATTTTACATATTGAAAACTATATTAACTATTGTAATCTATTTTTCTACATAAGATTTATATTGTTGTTAATTTTTAGCCCACCATACGGAAGACATGAACCACGTGGAGCTGTACCTCCGTTTAACGATCGCTACGCGCATGAACCGTATCAGCCGCGACCACCGGGAGTTAAAGATTCGCCTACTAACGGGTAAGTTCAAATGGCGTCATTGTTTAAGAAAGTAGTGTTTATCTAAAGATAATACTTAAATTGGTTACGAAATGATAGTTCTAATTTTAGATTCTATTAAATAAGTTTCCTACTTTTTAATGTGTTCAGTTTTAAAGTGTAATATGTTGCCTTGATTATTTGCATTGAAACTAAACTTTCAACAAACATTATTCTTTAATAATATTAATGTTCTTTAAAATTATAAATGTTAATTTAAAAATTTAAAAACAGGTCTGTTTTTAATTATGGATTGTTAAATTAGGCGCGAAATGTACATACGGTAGGCGTATTTGTTCGCATCCGCCGCTTCGTTCGTCTCGACCTTCTCCCGAATCGTGCCCGTAACATCGATCTAATCGGTGCCATGTTTGTCGTAGGCACGACGACGATCCACTGGAGGCGTTCAACCGGATGATACGTGAGAAGGAGATGCGAGCGAAGCGGCGCGAGGAGGAGCGGCGGCGGGCACAGTCAGGGTCGCACTCTCGTTCGCGGTCGCCGCGCTCGTTGCGGTCGCCGCGTTCGCCACGCGCAGGCCGCCCGTCCCGCTCCCCGCGCCCGCCGCCGGCCCGCTCGTCGCGTTCGCCCCGTCCTCTGCGTTCGTCGCGTTCGCCGCGCTCGCCCCGGTCACCGTTACCGCGCTCGCCCCGCGCGCGCCCCCGCAGCCGTGCATCCAGCCGACTCCGCTATTCTAGGTTCGTTTACACTGTAGCTGAGGCCGAAGCAAGTGCATGTTTTATTGTAATCACCGCAAATTGCTAATGTAACTGGCCACCATTTTGTTGACGTAATTGTGTTCAATAATCAGTACCGTTAACAAATAAACACGGGTTGACGAATACAATTACTGTGTTGAGATCACTCGCAATTTTTGTTGTTTTCATTTATTATTGTTAAGTTTTGTTTTTACTTGTTATGGTTGAAATTCTATTATGAATTACACAAAGAGTAAACCTAATTTAATTAAAAATAAATCTAATGTCTTATTTCATAATTACTTTTGGCGATGTTTTAAAATATCGTCCTTTCTCTAATTATCGTTTTATTACAAAGAAAATGTAATTATTTTCATATATTTTCTGTTTTCCATATACTTTAATATTAACATATAAATTGGCCTTTTTAGAAAATTCTTGCAATAAATTTAATAAAGTAAAAGTTAGTAAATTATTATAACAGTACTTTGGCTATTATTTTGAATATTTCAATATTTAATAAATATTTTATTTCTTGCATTTTGTGCTATCTATACTTTCTATTTTCAAATGACGTCAGGTGGGTGTTATTTAGACAAGGTTCCAGCTTATTAGCAATTTGCGGTACTTATACCGTGCATGTAAACCAAGTGTCGTAAACTAGCTAGTGCTTGTAGAATTTAAATGTCATTCTTACTAAACGGTGAAGGGTAGCGAACGAGCATTATTCTGAATCGTCTCGATAACTTGTGTGTTTATTCGACAGATCGCGATCTTTGTCACGCGGTCGACTGCGTCGATCGCCCTGGTCTCCGAGACGCCGCCGTACCCGTGAAAGGACTTTGTCGTTGACGAGGTAGGTTTATGCGTTTTGTGTTTGGTTAGAAATGGGGGTGTAGACAACTTTTTTTATGTTTTAATTTTATAGATATACAGGAAATATATCTTAAAAAAATATTTGGAAAAAGTATCATTCATTTTATTTGAATACATTTTCTAAAAATAAATTTAATTTTCCAAATTTTCCGCATAAACGTCAACTTCTGTTTTGGCGTCGCTATGATGGTCCTCTGAAACTTATGGTTCTATGTATGTATAAGGCTTAATTCTCTAAGTTCTGATATGAGTAAGATGCGTGAAGTCTCGCGCTGTTTGCGGTCATGTGATAACGAGTATAATTTTTTTTTTTATAAATAATATAATCAATATTATAAATGTAATAAGCATATAAGTGTGATTATGGGTATTAGTATATTAAATACTACAAGAACACCCGTATTTAGAATAATAAACCTTGAAGCAGTTGTATTTGTAGAAATGTGTAAACAATGAGGACTAACGTGTTTGAATTTGCCATTAGGTTTTGCAAATGCCAAATATCAAAATTCAATATAAACTAATTTGGTGCTTATATTGGGGTGCCTGTAATTATTATATGGGAGTGCCATTAAAATATGGGGTTACGGGTAAATGAATGTTAATAAAATGGTGAAGTTAAATAAAAACAGTGCTAATGGAAAGAGGTGCAAAATAAACAAGTTGAAAGGGCATCTAATCCAGAGGTTAGTCTTGATAGGGCATGCACGATATTTCTTATAAATCGGTGTATTTATATATGATTTATGTTAACGTAATTATACTCTTACGGCCATATCACTATGCAATATATAAGCGTTGTATAATAACAACACGCTAGCTCTTATTGAATAACATTGTACGCAGGTCTCCATCGCCTCGCCGCCGACACAGATCGCCGCTTCGGTATCGCTCGCCTTTGCGGTCGCCGCTGCGCTCGCCGCTGCGATCACCGTTGCGTTCCCCGCCACGCTCTGCACCGCGATCGCCGCTGCGTTCGCCGCCGCGCTCTCCCCTGAGAACTCCGCTACGTTCGCCGCTGCGTTCGCCGTTGCGTTCGCCGAGACGTTCGGCGATGCGCTCGCCTCCACCACGGCCTATGTCACCTCATCGGTTAGTGTTATTATTCTAAGTATTTGAATAAGAAAGAGCAGTAGAAATATCCATGCCAGTAGAAAGTTCTATTTTATGCTTAAAACATCGTGAAACATCGCTTGGTTGTCGTTGAGATCTAATGTTGCATAATTTATCACTACTCGATCCTTCTTAGATGCGAATATATCGATTACCAACGGCCCCATTTCGCGAATATCGTTTCTCTGAATTCTGGCAGTAAGTGCCATTCTGGAGCCTGACGATGGTGAGACAGATGATCTGCATGGCCGTTAAATTTATCGGGTATTTTTTTATAAGATTCGTAGAATTTTGTATGTCATATTTAAAAGACACTGGGATTTCATTCCGCCTTCCTTGCGGAACTATGCCACTGTCGTTCGATCAACCAACTTTATCATAATTGACACCTTCAATTGACACCTTCAAGTTCTTCGATTTCGAGAACTTTTAGAATAGCTAATAACTCTTTCTTGTTGCAGTGCAATTTCTGTTCTTGTACACTCTAAGTCTCCGACATTGCCAGGTTGTTTATTTGTGCTTCCCATGCTGTGTCCTAAGTATAGATCGTTAAGGTCGATAAGTTGGTGGACGCAGATATATTTTTAAATTTTTTATTATGAAAATGAATATGTATAGTAAAGATATTTGGTATTTTTTTCAGTGCATTGTTATCATAGCTTGGTGGCGTTGTTAAGCAACTTTTGTAGGGGTAGGTCACGGGATGGGTGTTCAAAAATTATAAACTCGAGCTACTCCGTGCTTCGGAAGGCACGTTGAGCCGTTTTTCCCGGCTGCATTTCTAGTCGTTAATATCCAATCCGTATTAGGCCAACATGGAATGTTATCGTCCATCGTCCTTAACCATCCGTAAGGAAGATGTGAGCCCCTGCAGTAGGGACGTAATAGGGTTAATGATGTATTATTATCACGACGAAACATTAATGTGTAATGTTTCTCCTTTGTTGAACAGGTACACGGGAGTTTACGACGAAATGTTGTCGCCGCCACCACGTAATGTTGAGCCGCCTTACGGACCCAGGTACGAATGTAAAAACCTAACTAGTGTCCACGTGCACCCTTTATCGACGATGTGTCGTATGAAAATGCGTATAATATTTGACTTGAGGATATTACCGTACGGATTGAAAACAAAAGTGTCTTTTCCCTCATACGTTAAAGTGGACTCCAACATTTTTCGTCATTAAAAAATGTACCATTATTGTATTATCTAATTATTTTAAGAGACGTAAAATATTGTTAGATATTTGTAACACTTGTTATATATTAGCCTCGGTTTAGCATTGGTTTGGTGAGTATAGAATGAATCTTGGATAATGTTTACAACGACGTGCAAATGATGGCATAGTGCTTTCATTGGAGTTATTTAAATAATATTCTTCGTTCAACAATACAACTAGATAATGCCTCGCATACTAAAACAATACTTAAATACGACAACCAAGGAACAATACAACAGAGTATACTCTGTCTTAATGCTCTAGGCGACAACTAAGCTCCGAAACTGAGTAGTAATGAGTCGCGTTGTTCATCTTATTTTTCTTAATAAAATGGATGGAATAAAATGGAAGTCGCGTTGTTCATCTTATTTTTCTTAATAGCAGTTAGATAAACAAATAAATTGTATGTGGTTTAAAAGTTCATAAGTTTGAAGATTATTCGCGGGATATTTTTGCTAAATAATATTTAAATTAACAAAAATATAATATTCCAACATCTGTAGTCTGTTTCTTACGCCAAACGAAATACCAATCAGAGCTCATGACGTCATTTGTGGGTAAATTGATAGAAAACTATCTAGGAAAAGCGCGGTAAACATTGAAAGTGCAAAATGATTTTAAGAATTTACTTGATTTTGACTAAGTTATAAGGGTCAGTCCTTTGTATCATAAATTTATGTGTTCACTATACGTATTGAATACTATAATTCATTTTTTCACTGAATATTCCTCCACAAATGACGTCACGTCCCCAGTCGCGATTACAAACATTGTTTTGGGTACATAATTAAGGTTAAATTACATATACTGACTAATTTAAAACAGTTTTTAGAAAATTGTCCAATCCCCTATTTAGGGAGGTGGGAAGTTTTAAATGTAAGCAACAGTATAATTATAAAACCTATCTATTATCTTTGCATATAATATAATTAAAAATTAAGAACTAAACATTATAAACTTTATATAATTAAGAACACACCTTCAAACAATTCTTATTGGACACATCCAGTATACTAAAATTTTATCATATAAAAACGTTTGTATTAATAGAATTACTATTACAAAATATTTGAATTATTAAATTTATTGCTTGTTTATTTGCCCTTGACTACCACAAACTACTACCAGTTCAAAATTTGGAAGTCTTGTCTGAGAAGAACTAGTGAAACAAACTCCGGCAAGAAAGTGATTACTCTCCTATAATTTTAATGTTTATAAAAAAACTAACTGTAACTTTGCAGTGTGTGATCTGGGTCGAGGTTTTATTCGACTAATTACTGGATCCGAAGTCAATGGTGTATTGCAACATTCATCTCTATTAAAAAAATATTAATATTCAATCACCGATTTAAGTACAGGCAGTCTTCATACTTACGGTATATAAGGTTCTCGAAATACGCGACATAAAGCGAAACGACGTAAGTAGAGACATATTTTTTCATATGTTTACATGTAAAACTGAAGGGTTAGGTTCCACACGGACTAAAACAAAAACTACATTTATATACATAAATATACATAATATACATATGTTGGAAATATACATACGTTATTATCAAAATGAAGTAATTAAACTTAAACTAATTATAAATGTACTCATGAAATTGCTAGTTATTTTTGGTATTTCAATTAGAATAATAAAACTTTAATAATCAAATATGCAATGAGAAATAGTAAATTAAACTTTTGGCTTAAAGAAACTATCAATTCTCGAATGCTTAGCTTCTTTCTTCTTGCTATCATACAGGTCTTGGTAACACTGATAGGTTGCACAAATTTTGTTGTGACAAGTGAATTCTTCTATGCCGAAAATTGAATGGTTTAATTCGTCACATTCAGGGAACCCATCTTTTGTTGTAAATAGATACTTAATATAGATATAAAACACCCAGACCGATACAAACCTACATGCTCATGCACACGGCTTTGTAATCGAGAACACGAATCACTACACCAAGATGGTTTTAAATTAGTGTTCAAATTTTTGGTAAAATAATGTAATAGTACATACACTACTCCATGTACGTGCTCTCTTAGAACATCGAATATTTAGTCAAATGTTTGCCATGTTAACGCGTGGATTGGTTGAGAAACAAAACTTATTTAATTGAAAATACTTTGATTATTAATTATAGACATTGTAAAATGACATTTACAACCCGATAATATGATATTACATCAGATAAATTTTTATTCCGATAGTTATTTTTGCAGTTTTAATACGCAGTATGTATTGTAACACGTCCGAACGTTGACGCCATTCCAAACAAACTAAAACAAAATAAGATCTCGCTTTTAAATATGGCGTTATTTCTTCGGCCTTTTTTGAGACTGACAGGGTACCTAGTTGTATTGTTGATCGAAGATAATATTACATAAAATAATGTTATTATAGTCGGTATTCATATTTTGTACAAATATGTCAATTTCATTCTTAGTTTTTGGACAGTAAAATTTACATTACATTATTCAAGAGATATATCGCATTCCTATTTTATACATCATTTAAGGTTTATTATCCTTAAGTGATCAGATACCAGTGAGTTAGTGATTGTCGTACTTAGTAAGAGTCATCGCCTATGAAGTATGAACCATCGTATCCAGCCTACAACGAACAGAGTCATCGCGCATCACTATATTTTCTCTAGCATGAATGGCGTCCAAGATTAAAATAGCGTTTGAATTTGGTGATCTGATGGTGTCATTCCCGGTGCAGCATCCAGTCAAATTAGTGTTAGGATATTTTTAACAATTGTTACTACAATAATGACATAAGACTACCGTGCAAGGTCTATGTCTATATTCCGTATGTTCCATATCTAAAACTAGACACATACAAAACAAAACCTACCATTTAATTAAATTATGTTGTTATTTGTTTTGGCCAAATAAGTGTGCATCTTTATTATTTAACCAGGTATAAATTGTGTAAAATTTCTAGCCTACTTTGAAGTTCTTTGCTTAGATTATGTAGGTATGACAGTATAATATGATGTGTTCTTTTGCGTGAGTATATAGATAGGCACAAATTATTTAAACCACAGTAATAGATTTATTTTAATTAAGAATTAATAATTTAATTGATAAATGTTTGTACCTAATGATTGTGTCATTGATAATTTTATATATATATATATATATATATATATATTTATATATATATATGAAATACGAGTTTTATAGTCTATATGAATAAAAAAAACTCGAAAAAGTATAAAAATTAGTCGAATTCTAATAAAATGGCCCTGTTGTAAGAGTCGGTGTATATCTGACGAAAGATCGATGCACTTGTACATCTTTTGAGCTTACTAAGGCATACTTCCGTAGATACGCTCCACGGATCAATCAGATATGAACCCACTCTTAGTGTGTAAAACTTTATATTTGTAAGGGTTGACACATACACACTCATGTAAAACGGGCCCTGTTGAAAGATTTATCACATAGGATGCAGACCACAGGATGCTTAACAATATTTATATAACACCATATAACCTCGTAAATGCCCAGTGTAATGAAGAAAATATTTTTTTATTTTCGTTACCATGTTTTTTTGTGTCTTATTTTAGACTTCGTTACAATTGGTTATACGAGTATGTAACTAGTCAAAACTTTGAAACAAGCAACAAGTATTTGTTGTAAAATTTTATTAAAATAATATTGCAATTAACATTTTACTGTAATCGGCGTCACATGCATATGCCAAGTTATTTCAATTAATTAATCCTATTAAATTGAGTTTATCTTTGAAACTTAATTTACCTACCGTAACAACAATAAATTATACATTAAATAAAATTAATTTCTGAATGTAAACAAAAGTATTGATAATGTTTTCATGTATATATTGTTTACTAGCAATGTCTTTGTTGGTTTCTCAAGAATATCAAATTGTTCCTAAAAGGATATTTGTGAAAATAAATTAAAGGGGAACCAATCAAATTTGAATTTCTATTTTGAAGCAAGCTGTAAATAGTTAAAATATATCGGTATGTATCGTTTTTGGCAAGTATTATTATTGTATTTATAATTTACTTTTCCCGACCCCTCGACGATTCGAGGGGTGGGAGGATTCCCCCCGGCAGAGGAGGCCAGACGGCCGGGGGTCAGGGTGACAAAGAGAGAAAACGGCGGGCGATCCTTGCGTTATCGAGCAAGATCGCCCGCTGGAGCCTCGCAATCATTGGTCCGTCACGGAGTCCCAACCTCTATTACTATTATTATTATTATTATGCTGTTACATTGAAATAACATAGACTTGTCTTCTGAAAATGGCAGTGCTACCTTCGCCACTACCTAGCGTATTTCCATTCGTACAATTATTCTAAAAGATAATCGACCGAATTGTTAACCATAGTTAAAATCTACCTGGTAAACACGAATATTTTAAATGGCTGTTTGAACAACGGATAGAATTTAATCGGCTAATTTATTAATCATTGATATAATGACGGTCGGTGAATCTGGACCTAACTATATTCTTAGGACAAACCTTTCTCGGTATAGCTCGGAAAGGAGCTATGGAAAGCTTTTAATTATTTTTCTTGTTATTCGGAAAAAATGAAATAATTAACCAGTGTATTACAGATTTTCCTAGATATTAGGTCAATTATTGGAATAGGAATAATGAGCAACTTGCCCCTCTTTTTATGGTTAGTAATGATTTGCGTTCAGTACGTTTAATGGATATATATTATATATTAATTTATTTAGACTGCGTTTTATCTTATTCCAATTTTTATCCTCGCAAATACTGGAAAGTACTTATTATATATTTTTTATAAAGTATATATACTGTAGT